TAGGTGTGTCCCGCGCGCTCATATGACCTTATACAGTTGCGAGCGCCGTAAAACACTTTACAAAAACAAAACAAACAAGTCTTGAAGTAGATCAACGTAATGAATCGCGTGCTAGACTGTGGATTCTAAACGTTGTCGTTTGCTAGGCTCTACACAACAACATAACTTGTTAAGCAAACAATACGTTATAGTATAGGTGATAGATGATACAGGTGTGCATTTGAATACTTTTCCACAGTGTGTGCTTAGTGTAGAGTTCATTATATTTGATTCCATTAATTTTTCAGCATTTCATCAGTATTGCATCAAAGAAACAAAAATGCCTCTTGTTGAAAACCATACTACTTTTGATTGAGAAAGTCGAATACGTTATAGAGTGGAACTGGGATTCAACGAACTGGGATTCAACGAAAGGAGATGGATTCCCCTTTTTTTTTTCTTCTTTAAAATCAATAAAAATAAACCAGATTCAACTAACACTTACATCAGCAAACTTGCATTCAACTAGGTCGCTTCCAGGGTGAACAGCCCCCACAGACGTGGCTTCGCTCATTTTTCTTCCACAACGAACTTTATTTATTCCCGGAAATCATTCATTGCACCTGCATTGTGAACCATTATTTACTTAGCAGATTGCATGCGACCAATCGGCGGCCTTTTTTCATACCAACACCTGCGTTGTTGGCACACGCACGTGTCTACTCTAGTGTGTGTCGGGATCGGATTAACGGCCTGCAGATATGTAACTGTGTGTGCGTGTCGGGGGGGGGGCCACCGAGTGTGCAACGTCGCAGATACAAATGCGTCAGTGTCTTTTTTTTCCCCTGGCAACTGATCATTATTACAATGATAAGCTAGTCTTGACGTAGATCTAGGTAATGAATTGTGTCCTGGTCTATGGAATCAAAAGTTTCCATATGCTAAGCTCTACACAGCGACACAACTTTTTGGCAAATAATCGAGATGACACAGATGTGCATTTGAACAAATCGGTCTTTTTTTTTGTGCACAGCTCATAATATGCATGCATTTCAGGCACCACTTGTTACTTTTCTTTATAAATTACTTGCTCAGTGCCTGTAATTATCTACACAAAACCTCGTGTTTGCTGTAACAAACACTCGGATTCAGCAAGATTTTAGGTCTGGCCTGGCGACCTCGTTGAATCCGAGTTCCACTGTACATTACTTGCTCGGTGCCTGTAATTATTTACACAAAAACTTCATGTTTGCTATAATGAACACTCCGATTCAACGAAATTGAAGATCAGGCCCGATGACTTCGTTGAATCCAAGATCCACTGTCTATATATTTTTCTCAATAGTGCTTCAAATTTAAAATTTAAACTTCCAAGTGACCACATATCCCATTAGCACTCCCAGACCCACGTTCCCCCCCCCCCCCCCCCCCCCC